GCACCTATCTTTTTGCTTGATGTATTTGCAGCAGCTGTGGTAGGTTAAGTTAGATTTTCTATTACAAGCAATGATTTATGGCTTAAAATTGATTTAATTGAATAGGCACTGTTTCACACGTCTGTAATCGATTTAGGAGTGCATTTATTCCAAAAGAAGATTAAGTGGTTAGTGAACATGATAAAGTGACGATGAAGAAGCTTATTGACAGATTATTACTTCCAGAAGGTATGTAATCAGGTCATGTGTCCGCAGGGCTGGTTGATAACGTCTTCACTATGTGAATGCTGCTTGACTCCAAATGAATCAAATATAAGCAAAAATGGATTGTTTTCCGTGTTGGATTGAAATCCAATGTTTAGGATTTCCAGAAAGACCAATTTATTTGTCATAAACTTCTTCAGGGAAATAGTTGTAACCAAAATATCCTCTCGACGAAAGTTTTCTTCTAGAATTCTGGATAAAATACCATCCAGTAACAAATGGGAGATCTCTTTAGCTGTCCTTATTGTAGACAAAAGTCAATTATTTTGAAGAAGTATGTGGTAAGCACAAAATTATGAGTGGTCTCCGCTCCCTAGTGATGACTCTACTTGTCGAAGAAACATCCTACATTTGAGAGACCGACCGTATCATGGGTAACAAGTAGAGAATAATAGTGCATTGAGAACATTAAGATAATTAATGTTTCTAAATGCACTAACTAGCAAATAATGATCAGACAGCATTAGAGTTATCTACAGTAGTAAACAATTCACAGTTGTTCAGTGTCGACTCCATGAGATAAGGCTGGCATATCCCCTTTGAACCTGCTTTCCATCACATTATTCAAGCCTTCTATTTTTGCAATAAGGCACAATCGACAGTGAACACCTTTTGGATTTTCATGAATGGAAAAGTAGGTACAACTAAACAAATGATTGGAATCAGGCTTATTACTTGGCAAATTTTGACACTTACTATCAAAAAAGTAATGAAACTACTTCGATTGTACACCGGTGTATAACACCTATGGGGTATGCAGTCACCACAGGAAGCTAGTAATAAAGACAGTGATGTATCACATCATGTCTGAACACATGGATGTTCTGATAACTGATGATATTCTTTCTATAACGGCCACTCATACAGTGTTCATTTCTGTGATCGAATATCTAGCCATATATTTTACGTCCTTACGTAAGTCAAATGTATGCTTCATACTGCTGGTCTCATTAAGTTGTACACCAAAGTCACAAATTAAGGTGTATAAATTGCAGTTGTGGGTAGTGCTGTATGACTACATCGATCAGATAATGCATTCACAGTCTATGTCATATCTTGTAGCTAAGTAGAAACAAACCAGGAGCCCAATATGACGAAAATTCATAACGATGCTAATCAATTTATTCCCGATAAGCAGGTATATCAAATTCATACAAGCGTGAAAAAGGAGTCAGAGAGAAAAAACTTCACATTATGTTGGACAGTAACAATTTCAGCCATTTGGCAGAGAAACAGATTTGTAGTCGTTTATGTTCGGTGAATGAATATTGATAGGCGTTGTTACAATTTGTCTGATTCTGTAGACGTCCAAATATTACAGTTAACTGACTGGAACTAGGTCCTACGTTGATGTCAACTGATATTGTGAATGCAACCTCATGCTTTTTGGGCAGAAGAACACTGCACCAGTTCAGTAATCTGTGCACCAAAGTTAGGCCAAAAAACATTAAACTTCTTGTCTTTTTCTGGCTTAACAACTCAAATATAACTAGCTGATTAGGGTCATAATGATCATATCATACCAGAGAAGACATCTTCATCGCCTAATGACATTAAGCAGTGTAGTACATTTTAAGATTCTGTGCTGATTGACAACATTTCTGCTAACAGAGAAAAGACATTGCCCAAAAATATCAATACAAGCAGCAAAATCAACCTGGATCAAGTTAAATTTCATTAATGTCATGACTCAATTCCGGTGTGGTAGTTCATTTTATAATTCACTAGTTAAATATGAAATAATAACTAAGGGTGAGTGGAAATATATTGTCGGGTAAACAAATGGTTAAATATCATGTTCATAGTTGGTTGTCGCATATAAAAGTAATATTATCCTTGAAAAGTTCTCTTTAAACATTCGTTGGTCTTTTGTTCAAAGCACCCAACGAATTGTCATCAGTATATGGTCAAGATTTCATTCCTAATCCAAAACTAATACCTCATATGCATCGCTTATTGTGAATGGTTCAATAATGCTGTCTTACACAAAACAGTTACCTAAAAGCTTATAAACTTTGTTGACTGCCATCACTACATATCCGTGCTTACTTCCGTAATAACAATGAAATAAGTTAACTATTACAACTTGTCAGAGCTATGAAGAGTAGCACTTGTATGGATGAAGTTTATAGTGCATATCAGTACTATGCACTTATTCGGTGTGAGCAATTACAAGTAAAGCAATTTTAATGTATAGGTAAGAAGACACCCTGTTGCAGGTGCAAGTATTTTCAGACTCTAATGAGTGGTTTTCATCATGAAGATAGCTTTTCATCTTACCAGTTTCAGTAGCTTATAGCCTATTATCGTGAATCTACTTACACTCACTTCTTGTTCAAGGAAGTTAAGGCTAATTGAAAAGATTACACACAGTATTTAGCCCTACAAATGCATGGTGAATAACTGTCGAGCCTTTTCACTTAGTGATATTTGATACTGGAATATTCAACAAGTGATATTATTCCTTTGAATTTTATTCTCATCCTACATTAAACCCGTTTATTCAGTGATATAAGTGTAAGACTTCGGCAGTGTAGTAAAATGTGACTCCATATTATATTTGTTTATTTGATTTACAGTACACAGTGATACAGTACTACTTACTTCATGACGTCTCGAGTACAAATTACTGCTTATAAACATTTCAATGCAACCACACTATTTTCAACATCTGAGTTTTGTGGTCTTATCATATATGATTTGCTTTTATTGGTAATAAAAGTTTCTATATCCTTGGTATAAGCGATGTGCCGTAACTGTTACATGTATTGGGTGTTGGTTAATTGGATGAACAAGGATTCAACAATCAATCTCTCCCTCCACCTAATTACATTGGACTAAAGTACAGTGGTTTTATCCCACCCGATTTTGTGGTTGTGTTAATGCACGATTTGCAATAGCCGAGTTTTCTTCTAGATTATTCATCCAATTGGGGTCTGTCATTCTATATTTAACAAAATTCCTATGTTCCACTACTCTAACTGACAACGGCCGGTGAGTTTGACCTATGCACTTGACCTCGCAGTCATAACAAGGAATTTGATAAATTAGATTATTTTGATTAATTGGTTCTGTGGGATCCTTAAACCAACAAAGTTCATCTCTGAGTGGGTTTTGTGGATTTAAATGCCACCCTAATTCCAGTTTTATTGAGTATTCTTCGTCAAGTCTATGATGTACCTTCCTTACAAGGTAACACAACAGGGGGTAGGAACTACTTTCTACTCTTGCTGTTATTATGATTCGTACTCATGTAACCGTTATTATTTCGTTTCTTATGTGTTTGTAGTGCACCTTCCTGGCACCAAAATATAACTAGGGCTAAAATAAATAGTTTAAATTAAATTAACTAAATAAATCTCTAGCTTGCCTCCGGATGCTTAGGGTGTTTTAAGTTTTGTTTTAACGAGCATGCATCCGAGCAGGCTTGGACGCCATTTTTGCGCTCCATTGTGCTGATCACCACGCACGTACTCCGAGTCCCTAGTTCAGCCTTACAAGCCAGATAAGTTGATTAAACTTTTCCCTCATTCATTATTATAACATTTACCTTAAATACATAGCTCCTTTAAATACATTGCGTATCAGTTCTTTTGATTTGTGTTTTGTTACCAGTACTTACACGTTAGGTAAAGTACTGGTTAAGCAGGTACTAGAGCACATCAAATTAAGTAGGGTTGATCAAACGTTACGGAATTGTAACACGCATCCCTACAAAAATTGGTGAGCCCGAGTATCACTTCTTATTTTGTCTAGTACCTTTGTTCTCTTGCGTTGATTTGTCTGGCCTAATTTTGTTTTTGGCACGTCTAGCGTTTTTTTTTATTTCACTCCTCATTGGTTATTTTTGCATTGTAATTTTTTTATTATCACTATCGTGCCTCGTTAATTCCCTGATCAATGGCGGATAACGACTCGACTGCGCAGATGGCCATAACCCTCCAGCTTCCCACCTTCTGGGCCCACAGACCATCTGCATGGTTCTCCCATGTGGAAGCTCAGTTTGCCTTGAGACACATTCAATCACAAGAAACTAAGTCCAACTTAGTCATCGTCAGCTTACCGGAAAATGTGATTGAAGACGTGTCAGATGTGCTAGATGACCCAGCACCGAATCTTTACGATCGCCTCAAAACCGCCCTCATCAAACGTGTTGCACTTACTGACCAGCAGAAAGTGCAAGAACTTTTCAGGGATGTGCATCTGGGTGATCGCAAGCCGACGCAACTGCTTCGTCAGATGAAGCAGCTGATTGCTGACTTCAACATTGATGAAGCATTTCTCAAGCAACTGTGGTTACAGAGGTTACCACAGTCGGTTCAAGGGATCCTCGCACCCTTCCATAAGTGTCCCTTAATAGAGTTGGCGGAAGCGGCTGACAGAGCTGTGGATGCTACGAAACCCAACACTAGTATCTCAGCTGCACTGTCTACTGCCACGGATTCGTTCAAAAATCCCCCCTCGGCTGTTGAGCCAACAAGTTTCGATGTTATAGCTCACATCTCAAAATTGTATGAGAGTTGTGCAGCATCAGGAACGAAATGCGGTCTGGTAGTTCTTACAAAGGTCGCACGTCTCGCTCGCGCAACAGGTCTGCCTCCCGTACCGATAGCAGACGTTCCAAATCGCGACAATCCCAACCCAGGTTGTGCTGGTACCATAAACGTTATGGTGCCAATGCCAAAAGGTGCACTCGACCTTGCACCTTCGAGGCTAACCAGGCGGGAAACGTGTGAGCCAGCACGTGACGGCGACTAACGTCGCTGGCGAGCCACTTCCATGTCGCCTCTTCTTCGTCACTGATCGACATTCTGGGATACGCTTCCTAGTTGACACTGGGGCAGAAGCTAGCGTCATCCCACCTACGAAGGAAGAGCGTCTGCGGCCAATGTCTCTGCAACTTCGTGCCGCCAACGGTTCGCCCATCACAACCTATGGTCGGAGATTCCTCGATCTCAACCTTGGATTGCGTCGTCCCTTTCGTTGGGTTTTCATAGTGGCAGATGTGACCACCGGCATTATTGGTATGGATCTCTTGCAGCACTATCAGCTGCTGGTAGATGCTGGCAAGCATAAGTTGATAGATTCTACCACAACACTCTCTGTTTCCGGTATAGTCACAAAGACGCCGCCCCTCAGTCCCGTGTACTGCACGACGGACGCTTCTAGTCCCTATGCGTCTATCATTCAGTCCTTTCCGGATGTCTTTAAGCCAAGTCGTTGTGTCCCTTGTGTGACTTCGAACGTTTCTCATCACATAACGACGACTGGCCCGCCAGTGTTTGCGAAACCACGGCGATTATCCCCGGAGAAACTGCGTGCTGTAAAAGCCGAGTTCGAACACATGCTTGAAATGGGAATAATCAGACCATCCAACAGTCCATGGTCTTCACCCTTGCATGTGGTACCCAAGAACAATGGCATGGACTGGAGGCCTTGTGGTGACTACCGAAGGCTCAACGCTAAAACGATTCCAGATCGTTACCCAGTCCCTCACATTCACGACTTGACTGCATCTTTAAAAGGCTCGGTTATCTTCAGTAAGCTTGACTTGACGCGTGCATATCATCAGATCCCGGTTCATCCTGATGATGTTCCCAAGACAGCCGTCATTACACCGTTTGGTCTTTTTGAGTTCCTCCGTATGCCTTTTGGTCTTCGCAATGCAGCACAAACCTTCCAACGTTTTATTCACGATGTTTTACGTGGACTCGATTTCGCCTATGCCTACCTAGACGATATACTAATCGCTAGTCCAGACGAAGACACTCATTTTAACCACTTGAAACAGGTTTTCGCCAGACTGTCAGAGCATTCGATGACAGTCAACCTGGCCAAATGCCAATTGGCGTTCGTTCACTAAAATTTTTGGGACACGTTATCGACGAGCAAGGCATTCGCCCACTACCTGAAAAGGTACAGGCGATCCAAGACTTCCCAGTCCCAGCGTCACTTAAAGCTCTGCGTGTGTTTCTGGGTATGGTGAGCTATTATCGTCGCTTCGTTCCCCAATGTGCACACATTTTGACTGCACTGACCGACCTGCTGAAAAGTAAATGTAAAACTTTCAGCTTGACTCCGGAGGCACTAGAAGCATTTCGCAAGATCAAAACCGCAATAGCAGACGCCACGATGCTGGTGCATCAAGACGTAAACCTACCTCTTAGCATTGCGGTTGACGCCTCTAACACGGCCATTGGAGCTGTGTTGCAACAACTTTCGGATCACACTTGGATCCCAGTTGCATTCTTCTCTCGGAAGTTATCCACCTGCGAAATGCGGTACAGCACTTTCGGCAGGGAACTGCTCGCCATATATGCCTCAGTGAAACATTTTCGTCATTTTGTGGAAGGTCGTGACTTCATCATCTTTACCGACCATAAACCTCTGACGTATGCCTTACACACCACTACTGACAGATATTCACCGCGTGAATTACGTCACCTAGATTATATTTCGCAATTCACGTCGGACATCCGTCATATTTCTGGTGTGAATAACCCTGTCGCGGACGCACTGTCTCGCGTTTGCACCACTACTTTGCCTCGAGCAGTCGACTTACGGAAGATTGCCGAACTTCAGGATTCAGACGAGGAGATTGAAAAACTTCAACACTCATCCTCTCTGAAGATACAGCGTCTACCGCTCCTGAACAGTGAAGTGTCAATATTGTGCGACACCTCCACAGGCACACCCAGACCGGTTGTTCCTTTATCCTTGCGTAAGCATGTTTTTGATGCTTTGCACAATCTTTCACATCCTGGCATCCGCGCCACTGACAAGCTCATATCTGCTAGGTTTGTTTGGCCTGGTATTAACCGTGATGTTCGAAACTGGACACGGTCATGTATTCAGTGCCAACGTTCCAAGGTGAATCGTCACAACATCCCACCACTTGGAACTTTCGCCAAACCTGACTCACGATTCGCTCATGTCCACTTAGACATTGTCGGCCCACTTCCACCCTCCGATGGATATAGTTACCTACTGACATGTGTCGATAGGTTTACTCGCTGGCCGTTAGCCATCCCACTGTCTAACATTACTGCCGAAACAGTAAGTCGGGTTTTCGTCGAAGGATGGGTTTCACAGTTTGGATGCCCTTCCACCGTGACAACCGACAGAGGCCAACAGTTCGAATCCGCTACCTTCCAGAAGCTGATGAATCTGTTGGGATGCAAACGCATCCGCACTACCGCATATCATCCAGCTTCCAATGGTTTGGTCGAGCGATTCCACCGACACCTTAAGAGCGCACTAATGGCAGTCGACAATATGAAATGGACTGAGTCTCTGCCGTTGGTTCTTCTCAGCATCCGTTCTACACTCAAGACTGATATACAGTGTACACCTGCTGAGTTAGTTTACGGTAGTAACTTACGTTTGCCGGGTGAGATGGTCGCTTCAGACTGCAGTGACCCAACTCCTACCGATATCCATGGCTATGCTCAAACTCTTAAGTTACACATGCGTCGCCTCCAACCCTCATCCACACGGATACAGTGTAGACGGGTGCAGCTGGATAAAAGACTCCAAGATTGCACTCACGTCTTTGTGCGTTGTGACGGTGTACGTAAGCCCTTACAGCCACCATACGACGGACCCTTCAAGGTTCTCAGTAGGAAAGAAAAGTTTTTCGTCATTGACAGATCTGGACGGCAGGATTCTATAAGTGTCGATCGTTTGAAGGCAGCTTATATAGAGGACGACCCGCCTTCCTCTACACCGACACAACTAGAAAAACCCTTGCCGCCGGACTCCCTAACAGACTCGTTTAGTCGCGCGTATCCTGAACCTTCTAAAAGAGCCACGTCTAGTAACACTGATCCAGTACCCTCTACACGTGCTGGGAGGCGTGTACATTGGCCCAAGCGATACGCCGAGTTCGTTAATTAGCCCCAGAGCAACTTCACACTTGGTGAATTCGGAGTTTCAACTACTTTGTCGTGGCATACACTTTCAATGCGTTTTCATACCTAAAGTTTTCAAAAGTCATGTTTACTACTTTGCAAACAGTTTTTTTTTAAAAAAAAAAAAAAAAGAAAAACCAAAAATACAATTTAAATTCCGAAAACTTTTTTTGGTTGGTTATTTTTTTTTTTTCTGTACTACTCCCACTTCGAATTGTTTGGTTTTCCTTTTCTTAGCACTCTAATGTCCCATTTCTTTCTTCTTGCAGAACCTAGAAAATGCGTTGAAAATTGGATACAATTGGCCGCTGACGATGCTACTTGGATCGTTCTTCGGTTCTCTTTGTACCAATTTCCCCCTGTACACTCCCCGGTAGATTAAGAAGCAATAGGGAAAAGTAGACGGAGGCTTTGGGTCACCTTCCACCACTGCGAGAAGGGTTGCGTCTAGACGCAAAGTTATCTTACCTCGTAGGTGTGCATAGTTGCACTAGCTTCGGAGACCCACACGTCACCTACTCCATCACCAATATGGAAAGGTGTTGCGTGTCCGCCTCGCAGTCGCCTCCTAGGATCGAAGGTTGCCGGTATCCCAACAACCTTCTAGGAGGGGGATAACCTGTAGTGCACCTTCCTGGCACCAAAATATAACTAGGGCTAAAATAAATAGTTTAAATTAAATTAACTAAATAAATCTCTAGCTTGCCTCCGGATGCTTAGGGTGTTTTAAGTTTTGTTTTAACGAGCATGCATCCGAGCAGGCTTGGACGCCATTTTTGCGCTCCATTGTGCTGATCACCACGCACGTACTCCGAGTCCCTAGTTCAGCCTTACAAGCCAGATAAGTTGATTAAACTTTTCCCTCATTCATTATTATAACATTTACCTTAAATACATAGCTCCTTTAAATACATTGCGTATCAGTTCTTTTGATTTGTGTTTTGTTACCAGTACTTACACGTTAGGTAAAGTACTGGTTAAGCAGGTACTAGAGCACATCAAATTAAGTAGGGTTGATCAAACGTTACGGAATTGTAACACGCATCCCTACATGTTCATACGAATTTCTTAATAAACTAAAGAGGATAATTAATAATTACTAACGCTTCTTTTATGTGTTTGAATTACTATTATTAATATGATATATATGTATTTCATATGACATAGGTTACATGATTGGTCTTTGCCTCAGTCAAGTTCGCACCAGGACAAATCCGAATTTGGTGAGCCCGATGTGATCGCATATCCCGACCAATAGCAAATATTGAACTGATGAGCCTGTTCCATTTTATATGTGTATATTGTTTTCATTTTGATAACATTTATATATCCACATGAAACTCTTTCTGATGTCCGACTATACTCCCAAGTTTATTCTTATTAAGCCGACTACGAACACGATCCAACTCGTGCCGTATTGGCCAGACAATGCAGAAACATGGTTTCCTTATGCCGAGGCAGATTTTCGAGAACAGGGCGTCCCACATCCTCATTCTCAATTTCTTGCCGTTATACGTTTACTACCACGGGAATTAAACAGGTATGTTACAGCACACATGTTTAATCCTGAAGTAAGTGATCCTTATGCACTTCTCAAGGCTGCACCGTTGAAGAAAAGCGGTCTGATGGATCGCCAGCTCTTAGACGAATTACTTCGTAACATCGAGCTAGGCAGCCACTCAGCTACTGAAGTCCTTGCACGCATGCGAGAAGTAATCGGTGCAAGAACATTCGGCAATGGCCTTTTCCGAGAACTATTTCTCTCAAAACTACTACAACCGGTGCAAACCGTGTTGGTGACACTGCAGTCAGCCCCACTTGATGACCTGGCAGCCTAGGCAGATAAAATACTGGAGATTTCTAGCAGACCCGTCTCCAACGCATATTCTGTCTGCGACAAACCAGAGAGCCAGGATTCAGAGGTGAAGAAGCTGTGCAACCCTGTGAAACAGTTGCTACGTTCTCAAAGTCCTAGTTCACGTTGAACTCCACAGAAACGCATCTTAGGGCATCGCAGCAACTCGCGTGGTTGTTCCAAAACTAAACCCAACAGGGCGGAAAACCCTAAATGGTGCTGGTTTCATAATACTTACGGAGACGAAGCCAGGAAATGTCGGAAACCATACAGTTTTAACAAGGACACAAACTCAGGAAACGGTCACGCCGGCACGTGTTTACGGCAACCGTAGCCGGCGGAAACAGCCTTTTGCTCTACGTCACCGACATAAAAACGAAAGTTCGCTACCTCGTCAACACCAGTGCAGAAGTTAGCGTTCTTTCCGCACCGACAGAGAAGCTCCATCACGACCCATCCTTCAATCTCCAAGCAGCCAACTGCAAGGCAATCACGACATTTGGGAGATAGTATGCCTGCCTAAACTTAGGTTTACGTAAACCTGTTGACTGGATTTTTCTCCTAGCTGGCGTTTCTATGCCTATCATTGGCATAGATTTGCTAAACCATTACGATCTACTCGTAAATGCTCGCCGTCGACGACCGATAGATAACAACACAAAGTTATCTAATGGCAGCACCACCTATGTAGGTCCTAGTTTAGCCATCGTAAGAACCAAACAATCAGGTGACGCGTCCTACCAAGCAGTTTTGGAGAAATATCCAGAGTTGCAACAACCGAATCACACTCTTCCGTGCATAGCCAGCAATGTCATGCATCACGTCACAACCACAGGTCCACCTGTGGCATCCAAAGTGCGCCGTCTAGCCTCGATAAGCTCAAAACGGCGAAAAGCGAATTCGACCACATGCTCAAGCTGGGCATTATCGAACCGTCAAACAGCCCTTGGGCATCACCACTGCTACAGTTACCAAAAAGGATAGCAACAACCGGCGTCCAACTGGTGATTACTTGAGGCTCAACGCGAAAGCAGTACCGGACTGCTACGCGATACCTCACGTTCAGGATTTGACCGCAACCTTATGCTGAATGAGCATTTTCCCCAAAATGGTTTTGGTCAAAGCGAACAACCAGATACCTATGGCAGCAGAAGATATCGCGAAAACAGCCATTATTACTCCTTTTGGCCTGTTTGGATTCCTATGCATGCCATTTGGTCTTCAGAGTGCAGTACAAACATTCCAACGCTTTATGGTTGATGTCTTCCGTGGTTTGAATTTTGTTCACATCTACACCGATGACTGTCTAATTGCGAGTCAAGATAAGGAAACTCACCTTAAACATTTGGACCTCACATCCGAAAGACTTAAAAAACATGGCATCACAGTGAACTTACAGAAGTGTGAAATAAGAGTTGAATCACTCAGCTTCCTTGGGCATACCATTGGCAACAAAGGTATACGCCCATTGAGAGATAAAGTGGCGACTATCACAAACTATCCAGAGCCGACCACTGTGAAACATCTCCGCACTTTCAGTCGCCCGGTAAGTTATTGCCGAAGGTTTATCCCCAACTGTGCCTCTGTCATGAGACCACTAACAGATCTACTTCGAGGAACTACAAAGTTCGTGTCTCTGGACAACGCGGCTGGACTTGCTTTCTCTAAAGTCAAGGAAGCCATTTCTAACGCAACCATGCTTATGCATCATGACCCCAATGCTCCTCTGAGTATTGCTGTTGATGCATCTGACTCAGCAAATGGAGCAGTTTTGCAACAGTTGACTGACAACCAGTGACAACCGTTAACCTATTGTCGAGGCGGCTGAAGGCGCGGAAACAAGATACAGTACATTTGGTAGGGAACTCCTAGCCATGTACTGTTCCGTACGCCATTTTCAACATTCTGTGGAAGGTCGTGATTTCATTATTTTCACAGACCACAAACCATTAACCTTTTCCCTCAGCTCGGCGTCTGACAAATACTCCCCGCGTGAGTCGCGACAGCTGGATTACATTTCCCAGTTCACATCAGACATCCGCCACATTTCTGGAGCAAACAACTCCGCAGCCGACGCACTATCTCGAATAGCTTCGATAAACTATATCGAGGGCGTTGATCTCGTTGAACTAGCCCGGCGTCAAAAGGAAGACCTTGAGCTGCATCATGAGTTGTCGTCCACAACTCTCAAGCTGCGACTTTGTCCGGTTGGGTCAGACAAGGATACAATTTTGTGCGATGTCTCTGCTAGTCATTCACGCTCAATAGTTCCGAAGAGTTGTCGACGCAACGTCTTCAATGCGTTGCACAAACTCCCTCATCCAGGTGCACGAGCCACCATTAGGCTTATCGCACAACGTTTCTGCTGGCCTGGGATGAACAAAGACGTTGAGGAGTGGGCTCGGTCGTGCTTAGCTTGTCAAAAGTGCAAAGCCATGCGACACATGAAAAGCCCTTTAGGCTCATTTCTAGCCCCAGACATGCGTTTCGACCACGTCTATATAGACATTGTAGGACTCCTACCAGAATCTTATGGATGTACTTACCTTTTCACTTGTGTTGATCGTTTCACACGATGGCCGGAGGCAGTACCCATTAAGGATATTACTACTGGAACAGTAGCTCGTGTTTTCGTCGAAAGATGGATCGCGAACTTCGGATGTCCATCTTACGTCACAACCGACCGTGGGTGCCAATTCGAGTGTCGATTATTTCACGCTCTAACGGCACTTTTAGGTTGCACTCGGTTCCGAACGACAGCCTACCATCCACAAGCAAATGGCACGGGAGGGCGTCTCCGTCGACAGCTGAAAGCTTCCATTCCAGCTACAAACATACTCCAGTGGACCGAGGCTCTGCCTCTAGTCCTACTAGGTATTCGTAACGCGTTGAAAGTTGATGCTGAACGCACTCCTGCAGAACTCGTCTATGGGACCACTCTTCGCCTACCAGGTGAGTTTGTCTCTCCTTCAACTTTCAAACTTGTTTCCGACAGGACATCTTACGTGACTAGGCTTACAAGCGCAATGCGTTCAGTTAGGCCCTCTCCGATTAGGCCGCAAACGACCGATGTTTTCGTTCACCCCAGTTCACAGAAGACATCGCATGTGTTTGTTCGCCACGACGCCGTTCGTCGACTACTTGAACCACCCTACGACGGGCCACTCGAATTGATCAAGTGACATGAGGAATTCTATATAATCGAGTGAAACGCAGTTGGAGATACTCTTAGTATCGACCGTTTGAAACCAGCTTATTTCGAAGGCGACCCCATTATAAGTGACGTTTCAGCTCGTGACATCCGACCGACGGATAGCTCAATTATCGAAATTCTTGACGAAGTGCCTGGTAGTGCGCGGTTACAACAACCATCGGTGCAACAGAAAACACGATCAGGTCGAACCGTCAGGTTCCCGGAGTATTTAAAGTCGTATTCAACTTAGTGGTGTGAAATAAAATGTGCCAACCATATTTTTTGCCTGCAAATTTTTTTCCGAGGCACTATTTTTCTTATTTACCGGCGATGCGCAAATCCTCGTACATTTTGCCTTTTTATGTCAATTTTTTTATCACCAAGTAATGAAACTTTTAAAAAAAGCGTGGAAAACAAGCGTAAACTTTATTTTCGATATATTTGTATACACATAATCCCCATTTTTACGAAACGTTTTTGTGGTATTAAAGACTTGTATTTATATTCCAGGTGCAACGAGCACTGGACGGGAAGTCAAAGAAAACTGAGGATCAGGATCGACGTCCAATTTGATCTATTGTATTTTATTTTTTAATTGCCACGACACCCTAGAATAAGTTCAGACAACCAGGGGCCACCTCACGCAGTGAGCCCATCGGAAGAGTTTTACCAGTGGAGAAACCACTAGGTTTTTACTTCCGGCTGGTATCTTCTTAGGGTCCCCACGAACCCACTAGGGGGGGAGTGATCTGTAGCGTCACACACTTCCCCAAAATCAATAGCCTAGGGTTTGACGACTTTCGACGTTGATGCTGACCTTGATAGTTTAACTGGACTCGCTAAGCTGAAGGCACCCGGTCAA